TCATGGCCCGTTATACTTTGGTATCGGTATTGAAAAATGTACGGGGCATTCTATTGAAAAATTAGCAAGTTGGATTCCCCTACAACCTGAAGTGCCACCATTTTGAATAACTTTTAGCTCATCAGTTATACTAAAAACACAAATTTTCATAACTGTCTTACGTCAACCTTTTCAGTAATCGGTCGCTACAATTCTACGTGGGATCCAATTTATTTATACAGCCAACAGCACTATTTCCCTCAATGATAAAATAGTAATTGATGGTCAAAAAGATGGTGTAGCAGAAAAATCTTACCCACTGTTAACGTGTTGCTGTTGGACACCAAGCTAAGGGTACCTTTACCACAGTAGTTCTTAGCATCCGCAAAGTTGGCACTTCCACTCAACGATATTGACAGCTTGTCATACTGACAGTTTTGACTCTGAAATTGGAGTAAGGAATCATTTAGTAAAAGCATTATTGGAGATTTCAAGTAGAAAACCTATTTTACTCTAGGAAGAAGGCCGCCTTGTTCGATGTGAGGCCTCTCTATTGCCTTGCAAATTTTTTTAGGAGTGTTTCTAATTCAAGGTAAACCAATGTATGACCAAACGTATTATATTCATAGCAGCGACGACATGGTTAAGGCCTGATTCTGAATTTTTAGAGCCAGCCCGGCAGGGGTATTAACTGTCTTGAAAAATGAAATTAAGTCGGTCTTATTTACAGTATATTGGTTTTTTGTGAATTATGTAGGTTTTTCTACAAGAGATCAACTTAGCAGTAGCTGTTGTACACTTGTTGTGTACTCGTTCCAAAGCTGTATGTGTTACCTAAACGTGGTGCTTCAGCTTTAAATGTTTGACTCTGATGTGATGTAAGAGAGCCATAAGAAAAGAAAATCCCTGGTTGATGAAGTATAGCAAAGGTAACAGGTGGGAAAAATGGTACATACAGGAATATTTATAACACGTAAAGAAGCTACTGCGCTTCACATTAATTTTTATTTTCAGTCATTTAAATTTTATAGAATTGACTGATTTCCTGTAATGCTTCTCAAAGCTTTTGAAAACGCAAAAAAAACTAGAAAAGAATATTCCCTACAGCTTGCAGCATGGTCATTGAGAGTGTCGTGTCGTTGAGTCATTCCTCCATAGATAGACGCTTTTGATGACGCTCACAATGCTCATGGCGAGCAAACGCGGAATGCCCTATTTGCACGCTATAGAAACTATCTAGGCGGCAAGTTGACATTTTGTCATTTATTTTTGACGTTTTACATTTCTTTAACGCCGGTGGCTGATTCTGTTTCCGATCTGTCATATCTGTCATGTATTTCAGGTGAATTGCAATAATATATACTAAGTGACATATATATAAATCCGAACACCCAGTTTAAATGGTTTTATTTTAATAAAATTTTGTATAAGTACTTAATGAAGCATAATAAGTAAATGATAAAAATTTCAAAATGATTACACTGCTTTAAAGCCCTTTGACCTTTAATAATGTGTGGATGCACCCTGGTGTGCTACGCATTCTCCAACGCGCCTAGGCATGCTTCTGATCAGGTGGTCAATGTCCTCCTGTGGTATCTCATTCCAGGCAACCACCAACTCCTCTCGAAGTGCTTCTAGAGTCTGAGGAGGACGTTGCAAATTGAGCAATCTCCTACCCATCATATCCCACACGTGCTCAATTGGGGATAAGTCGGGAGATCTTGGTGGCCATGGTAACAATGTGACATCATTATGTTGAAAGAAGTCTATTGTGACTCTGATGAAGATTAAAGGTGACCTGGAACCATAAGCTATAGCACCCCAAACCATAACTCCAACAGTGTGATGAACATGTCTTTCAACAAAAAACTGTGGATTCCTCCTTTCACCACGTCGCCTTCTAACCCTGGCACGACCATCGTGCATGCCTAAACAAAATCTGTTCCATTCCTGATCCCAGAGTGACCGTACTGCGGCTGAAATATTCATTTTTAGAGCGTTAGTGAATTAAAAAAAAAGCAGTATAAAAACCGGAATGTCCCACTGATAAGGCTGAAAATTTTTTCACTTGTTATTTACAGTAAGATAAATACATTCACCAACTTTTATTAAAATAAAACCATTTAAACTGGGTGTTCGGATTTATATGTCACTTAGTATACTTTAATGATCTGAAAGTCCAACCAATTTGAGATGCGGCACATTCGATGGCAAGTCGCAATGACGTCACTGATAACGTCATTATTAGAACCGTTCGTGATCACCGTTAAGAATTCTGACATTTCCAACCAAAACCAGAGAGCTGTGTGCAACAATTCGCCTTAGCAGGGACCAGACGAAGAAAACCTCCCCGTTACCTAATGACACGGCAACTAAGACAAAAATATTTTTTCTCGAACGCGTGGTCGGCCTTTTCAAAAATACTACTCTGAAACTGGACGTATTTTTGGATAACTATCTCATAAAAGCTTAAGGTCAAGTTTTTCAATCACAGGTTAACTGAAGATTCACTGATAACCGGAAGTTGACATTCAAAAAGCGTTTTTCAATGTCAGGTTCGCCCTAAACAGTAGCAAACTAGAGTATCAGTGAAGTTGAATGTTGTAGTTAAACCGCAATTTTGCTTGACAGTGACTCGAGTCACGAATACTGAGCGTGACGAAACGCACATAACACGATAGTTTACACGTAGGTGCAGCGTTGCTACATCAACGGTTACAAGTTGGTTAACCAAAACTTGAAAAACGAATGTTATACTTAGCTTCCGGGTAATAGTTACCCAACTCGAAAGTTCCGATTGAAAAATCGGGCCTTAATGATTAGCTAGAATAATGTTTCTTATATCCGACGTACTTTATGTAACATGACAAATGAAAAAAAATGCTGTCAAGTAGATTGACTCTATCCTTCTCGCGCAATTATGTCTTCAATAAATAGCTGTATTAAAATATATTTGCCAAACATATCGATATTTGCCTTATTTTTTCTGTCCATTTTGCTACTGGTTTATAAATTAGTTACACCTTCTAGTCCCGAGAGTAGAAATGATTTGCAAAATAAATCATATTTATCAATATTATATGTTATTGCTTCTTACCTTTTTACATTCGACGGCACTAGCACTACATAACACCCTTATTTATGTTTACAAAAAAAGAACCGCACTCCATCAGCTCTATAATCCCCCACTCCCTAGATTTTCACCCCTAATAATTTTTCCAAACATGGTTAGGGATCTTGGCGTAGAAGTAACTATGTGTAAAATTTTCATCAAAATCCGACCGGATAGACAGACATACATTTCGATCGAAATGAGTGACATGGTTTTTCGAGATGTACAGATCATATGAAATTTGACAACACCGCATCTTGAACACTCCAAATGGGAGATTTTGGTCAATACTCATCTGGCGCTCTTATTCACTTGCGTACACGCAGGCAGTGATTTATTTATTTATTTATTTATTTCCAATAGGTGAAACCCAATTACAGGAAATGCTGAAAAAAATAACAATTAAAGAGACATGGTTCTTGGACTTAAATCTATAGTATCACACATTCTAAATAAGATTGGATGATCATAGCAGTTAATAATCGATGCACAACTGTCAGTGTAAATATCACACGATTCAGTAACACTGTTCATGACGCAGCACATGAGATTAATTGGCGATTTTGTCATAACATTTGTACGGCCAGCTGGACAATAGAATGCCCTTTGTTGTCGACTCTCTAGCCTTGGAACGCGGAAACATATTTTTTCAAGTAAATTTTGGCCGTCAATTTTATTGTGAATGAGGCCATACAAAAACGACAAAGCAAATATGTTTCGCCTTGTTGACAGTGAACCCAAATTGAAAAACTCTAATAGGGCACTATGGCACATCCTCTTTCTGGATAAGAACCTGTGCATTTAAGGTGAAAGTACTTTAAAGCTTTACGTTGAATGGTTTCAAGGATTACGACAGAATTTTGGTATATAGGAGACCAGATCAGAGTCGCATACTCCAACTTGCTCCTGACAAAAGTAAAAAATAAAGTCATTAATGTATCAACATTGGAGAAACCCTTTCAGTTTCTGATACAGAAACCAAGTAGTCGAGTGGCAGCCGACGGGCTATTGAGTATATGCTCAGTAAACGTTAGCTTGGTATCAAAAGTGACTCCAAGGTCTCTATAAGAGGTGCATCTGTCTATAACCTGACCATTGATGTTATAATTATCATAAATTAAATAGTTAACCTTTCTTGTATAAGTCATAACTTTACATTTCGAAACATTCAGACTGAGACAGTTTCGTGAACACCATGACGAAATTAGAGCTAAGTCATCTTGCAACATGACGCAATCCTCGACTGTCTTGACTGACGTGCAGATTTTAAGGTCATCAGCGAAAAACAAATGGAAACACTTCAGTTCGAAAGACAAGTCATTAATAAATATCAAAAACAATAATGGACCTAGATTTGACCCTTGAGGTACCCCGGACGTGGCCCGATAGTAACTCGACCTATGACCACCATATTCGACAAATAACCTTCTATCCCTCAAATATGAATTCATGAGCGACAGCATTGCATCAGACATACCCACTGTTGTAAGATTATCCAGAAGTGCATAATGATCAACTTGATCAAACGCCTTCTGAATATCTGTGTAGATGACATTAACTTGTCCCTGACCGTCCATTACTTCAGAAATGAGTAATCAGAGCCAAGTTGGTGACCGTAGATCACCATGCTGATTAATAGAGACTGCACCCCTGACCGAGCAGTAAACCGTTTCATAAGCGATGATCTCAAACAACTTGCTGAAATTGAACAGGATTGCTATTTGGCGATAGTTGGAAATATCAGAGATATCTCCACTTTTGTGAATAGGGCATATTTTAGAGGTCTTCCAGATATTTGGATATGTCTCTGATTTTAGAATTAGGTTGAATATGGAAGCCAGCGGTTTCACTAGTATATGAATGCAATCTTTAACGAAAAAACTTGGAATACCATCACATCCAGACGTCATTTTGTTCTTTAATCTTTTCGAAGCCCTAATTACGTTTTTCTTCACTTATATTTTTAAAGAATGATATCGGTAGAATTATTTGTTGGAGGAGATGACCCTAGTAGACCAAACGGATAAAACTGTTGAAAAGGAGGTAGCAAAACTGTCCACTATATCCTGAGGCGTATCGCAGACATTGCCGTTAAGCGTCATCCTTGGGCTGATTCTAGATTGCTGTTTTTTGATCTGGGCAAATGACCAGAATTTGCTAGGATCATTGACAATGGCATCCTCAACCGATTGGACGTAAGCGGAGTAGGCAACACTGACCTGATTCTTAATGAGCTTCCTAAAATTACTGAACTGATCATAAGAAAACTTAGTAGCGTCACGTTTCCAGTTCCTTCTTGCTATGTCCTTCTTCTTGATATTAAGTATAATTTCACGTGTGAACCATGAAGGATACGAAAACATTTATTTTTATATTTAGAGACATGGACCTCAAAGATGTTATTGATAACTGAATACAAGGCGGTACAAGCGACATCAACATTAACTGCACTGATCACCTCCGTCCAATTAACATCTTGCAAGGCTGTGTACATTTCAGGAAAGTTAGCTTTGCGAAAGTTAAACCGTGGATAATTAGCAAATGGGAATTTGTATTGGGTAACATTATCTGTTACATTTTCTGGCCGCAGCTCTGTCGCAAAATGTAACAATAACTCAAGATATCACAATCGGTGGCGTCATAAAACTCCGTTCTCCTGCTATGATCAACGAGAAAAATCTCCTGTGCTTTTTCGGTACTTAGATGGTTCGTAACCATTCTTTTTCAAAATACGCCTTCCGAATTCTTATGATACGGTACTAGTAACTCTTTTCCTGCTTTAAAGTCTCGCCCGTCGGCAAAATTTGGTCCTCACCGAGGTACTATAATACATACTTACACTTGGTATATCGATATCCTCGCATGAGACGACGATTCTGGTACCCGGTTGGCTCTTTGCGGTCCACCTGCAATTGGTTCCGCTGCTATCTCTGTCCGGATACTCTTTGTTGTAGATGAAATACTCCTGTCCTATCAAAAGGTTGTCCTGATAGTCGCACTGGGGGTCAATGGCCATCGACATGGGCATAAACAGGTTTAGCAGTCCTGCCAAGGCCATCGCCAGGCTCAAGTACCATCCTTAAAAAAATAAAGTGGCGTCAAGTAGACTGGCTCTGTACTTCCCACGCAGTTATGTCATCAACCCAATTAGCACACGTATTTTGTTCCAATATGGAAACAATACTGCGGACACATTCGCCCAAACTAATTTTTAAATATTGGTGCAAGAGATGTGAACATTTGGATACATTGGTACAATATGTGCAGTATCAACCCAATATGGCCCTTCTTTATTGGCTCGAAATTACAATTCAAAATTGGTTGCATGTCAATTTGTATATTGTCTAAATCAATCATGCCAATATTGTTTCAATGTTTACTTACATTATTAAAGCAATACTTTTTTGTATTGACTCAACATTTCAATATTGGTTGAACGTCAACATTTACCTACTGTTCCAATCAATTATAAAAAGGTTCAATGGTACTTTACAGTACATCCATTCTTCACTGACTCAATATTGAAATCCAACATTGGTTGCAAGACATACGTCGTAAATTGTCTCAAACAATTATAAAAATAATGTAATGTAATATTGTCTGGCCAAATCAAATCACATATAAATTTGAATTTTTCTTTATTGCGCCACATTTATCTGTAATATTACTTACGAACGTAATTATAATACTGTGCATATATTCTGGAATCCATATCATAAAATAACATATTGGGCCAATGAAGGCCAAAAGAAAAAATCAAGGGTATTTTCCAAATATAGGACAAATATAGGATTACGAATATTCGCTGAACAATCAACAAAACTTGGAGTGGTATTGGTCGACAATATTACTTTTATATATTAAGAAACAATATTTGGGCGATATATGTGTTAACAATATTGCACTTCCACTATCAATACAGTATTGTGCCAACATTTATCTGTAATATTGTGCTTACGAACGCAATTACAATATTGTTCCAATATTCTGCAATCAGTATCGCAACATAACATGTTGGGCCAATAAAGATAAAAGAGAAAACAAAATAATGTATTTTCCAAAGTTTAACAAATATAGGGTACAACAGTATATTCAGATAAGAGATAGACCGTGATTTTCACGCTAACGCCGCCGTCTCGACGTAAACAGGAGCCCTCATTGGTCAATTCGCATTAAATGCCTATGCCGAGCGGCAGAGCAGTCGTATCAAGGCAGAGTCACATTCAGGTCAGACGTGTTACGTATGTCGTGTGCATCATTGCAATTTGATATTCTTTGGACGTTTTCGTTTGTTATCTTATTAAGTTGTTGAGTTTGTCGTTGTTATTGTTATACCTTGTTTATTGATTGTTATTGTTATCAACTGCTTGCGCAAATGCCCAGTAGTACAGATACTGCCGATAAAGTTGTAAACTCCTGTAGTCCACCTAAGAAACGCTCTAAAAAAGACACCTGAGTGCAGAAATGAAAGAGGTCATTTTGAATATATATATATCGAGCGCGAGGAGAACGAGGCATCAACCATCAAAGAAATTGTTGTGAAGGTTTCTCACAAAGTTGGGGTGTGTCGCGCATCAGTGTTAATGTGTTAAGACAATACAAAAAAAATCACACCTTTTCTGAGCCAATGACCAGTAAACATCGCAAAAGTATTGTTAAATCATTGGATGAAGCTGATAAGCATGCGATTAGGAGGAAAGTGCATGAATTCTTCTTTAGGAATGAAATACCTACTATAGATAAAGTACTGCAGGAGGTAAATGGAGATACAACGTTGCCAAATTTTCAAACGATCAACTTCCATGCGTTACTGAAGCATTTAAATTTCAAATGTAAAAACTGGGGTCGTAATAGTTTACTACTGGATAGAGAAGAAATTGTGCTATGGAGGAGGGATTATTTAACAAAAATTGGGAATATAGAAATCAAAACAGGAAGATTTATTACCTTGATGAACGTGGGTAAACGCAGAACACACTACAAGTAAAGTATGGGTTGATGATTCTGTAACTTCATCCATGAGGGCCTTTCTAGATGGACTGTCCACCGGATTAAAAAATCCAACAGGTAATACGAGTAATAGACAACAATCGGATGTTTTTAACAAAACTTCTATAACTTTCGATAAATGCGTGGATGTTTTATTGTCATTTTCATTTGTTAGAACTTTTTAAGCCATGTTTTTATGTGTTTTCGATATTTCAATAATTTTTTAATATAGCTTAAATATGTCGAATATTATAAACTTAAAAAAAGTTACTAAGTTTTATATTGTGTACCGTTCCTAATATTTCTAATCATTTAATTCATACTTTAAGCTTTATAAAGTTTTAATTTGTTAATATTAATATTGCTCGTATTTCAGGTTCCTGATCATTCATTTTTTAAAGGTTATAACTTTAAATTAAATTGTGAAGCGCTGAGTAATCATACGACGTTCAATATTCTTTCTTTCAATATGACTAAATAATCCCAATTATAGCAATCTGATACTCATGTCTCAATGTTTTTCGCTAATGTGATGAAAACATTTGAAAAAGGTTCGCTTATTGAAATAAATCTACACCAGTTTAGTACTTCGATTTCCAGGTAAGGGAAAAGGCTCATTATCTGCCATATTGGCAGTGAGGATGGATTTGTTGTTGACGTCTGTAGTGCTTTGAGTCTAAGAAAACTGAGATTACCACGAGGAAATGAATGGCGAATCGTTGAACAGTGGTTTTCAAAAATTTTACCGACTTAGAGGAAAACGCAGTAATTGTGTTGGATAATGCGCCTTATCATTCTCGAATAATGGAGAGGTCCCAACAACGGCTTCAAGGAAAGTTGATGTTCAAAATTGGTTCCGCTCGAAAAATATCAACTTTGAAGAAGCAATGCTGAAAGTACAATTATTAAGAATTGTCAAGGATCACAAGGCGGAATATCAAAAATACGCCATTGACGAAATGGCAGCAAGTCAAAATAAAACTGTGCTCCGTTTACCTCCATACCATTGCGAGCTCAATCCCACTGAGCTCATATGGGCAGAGGTTAAAAATTATATAGCTAAGCACAATACAACTTTTAAATTTTGTGACCTCAAAGGACTTTTCAAAGAAGCACTAGAATTACTAAATGGGAAAACTGTATTAAGCACGTGAAAGACAAAGTTTGAAAAGAGAATGTGGGAACTGGACAATATTTTAGAGGAACAAGTCGAGCCATTCATTATTGACGTTGGTGCTTCAGGCAGTAGCGATGATGAAAGCTCATCAAGCTCATCTTTCCAATAAAAGATGTCGTTCATCAAATTCGGTAAGTTATAAGTAATTATAAAGCTACTGTATTTTTTAATTAATTATTGACATTTTTGAACCCATTTTGGCAAAACCTTTCAAGAATCTACTTTCTGACAATGTTCAACCATGCACATTTTTTTACGTTTTGAACGTTTTAATTTGGTACATATTTACCTAGAAATTAAAAATATACTAATCAATATTCTAAAAGCAATTTTAAGAGATATACGATTATTTTAATTTAGGCTAATTTAAACGCCATTTGAGATTATATTCGACTGTATTTCACCAAACATCAGGCGGCATCCGAAGCTGAAATCGAAGCGAAAATTTTGAAACCCTTATGTATATTTACATCATTATATATTCTTACCCCACCCCCACATGATCCTATATCCATCACCAATCGTATACACATCGAATTGTGCTAATTTACTACAAAGTTACGCAAAGCAGCATCTACTATCTAAAATATGTACTGCGTGACTCTCAATACGTCCCTGCCGAATGTTACAGCGTTCGATGATCACGTGGTCTTGTTTATGTCCGGTCTATCTCTTATCTGAATATACTGTAGATATTGGTATTTGATTGGAATGGTAGTGCCAATACATGAATATTGATCCAATATAGAAACAATGTTCAGCCAATGTATTTTTAGCAGACCGGATAATCTTCGCATGATTGCATTAACATGTAGTAACCTGATCTAGTAATAGCTTCCAAACAAAATTGTAAAAACTTAGCTCCTCAGTTATGCACATCATTAACGAAAATAACAAAAAAAATAATAGGTCAGTTTTATTCAAAATACATTAATGAATATATCATAAAACTCTACAGTTCTACATCTCAGATTATAAGAAATAAACCAATAATCCTTTTGATTCAACGAAAAATACAATATTTCTGATAATTATACCTAACAGGTGCGCAATATTACTGGTATCAGACACATCTTCGTCTTTCACTAATAGGAGTACTATAGATGCAACAGCAACATTCACAACAGCTAAGGAAATATATATCAGATTCAGCGAGCCCTCGTTGATACCATTCTAGGATATAAAAACTTTTGCCTATGACACAAAGCAAAAGCAAACGTTTACAATCCCCCACCCCTGAAAATCCTCACATACAAAAAAGTTTCAAAAAATAATCAGGAACCTCTGAAACGTCTAAAACGGGAGCGTAGCTCCGCCGACAATGGGTAGATTTTCAAAATCTAAATAGCCTTTCTGTCGTTGGAGTTGTAGTTATCCCGTTTCAAAATTTCATTAGAATCTGAGGAACACTTAGTGAATTCAAAATGGCTCTTCAATACAGTAACATAAGACAACACTGGCTAGATGCCTCGCCAATGCAGAGATTAGACTTGTAACTTGACTCCATATTTGTCAAATCAGACAGCATTTGAACCGGTAGCACGATTGATTAAAATATGATGATCAGGTGACATTATTCCGATCCTGCCATTTACACTCCTTATGATACCCCAATGAGTAATACTCATTGTAATATACTGTATGGTTGTTATCCTGGAGGGCATGTTTTTACCATGAAACTGGCGTGCACTTACGATATAACAATCTATGGCACAATCGAAGGTTCTCATTATTTTTAAACTACGCTTTTATTACGCCAAGATAAAAAGATTACGATAGCATATTGTCAGCTTCAAATGATTGAGCAGCACTAACGACTCATTATTTGATGGAATTGAGTAAAACAACATTTGCTGTGGTTGACACAAGGGCCTTGATCGCATGTTGAATGTTTCCGTAAGTTTGGATGAGTATACCTTCTGTTGCCACCATCTGAGCTATTTTACTGGCTCTCACTTCATTGCTGCTAAGAGACTAGCCTTTGGATAACTATTATAGTGATGATGGTGGTAACGTAAGAATGCCATCAAGATCTAGCTGAAATGACTAATCCCCGAAGACTAGTAACCCAGAGGATTGAGCTTCACGGTTTCAAAGGTAGCACCTTCATTTTCATCAACCGTCGTCACAAGTGTATGAATTTTGCTACATTGGGTATGCTCTATTTGGAGTATAAAAATATGGCTTTCTGGGTATCTTGAAGTTCTTATTTACAAAATGTCCATTTCTGTTCATCACCAACAAAAGATCCTATATTGTGGAAATTTCAACATCAGGGACAGGTGCAGAAGCTGCAAAGTCTAGCAATGCACGAAGTGCTTATGCAGGGTGTTTGCGAAGTTGAGTCATTGATTTGATATATCAAAAAATCACCTATATAAAGGTTGCATAATAAATGAAACAGTGAAAGATTAATTTTTTCAAAAAATAAGACTGTTATTACACAGATTTTTTGACATTCTCGACCACTACCGTATAAAATCTTAGCGTTTTTTGCTTACTACTCTTATAGTATATCTAAATTGGAAAAAATGGAGAAAATTTTTAACAGTTTTTGTAAAAACGGTATCCATTTAACGTGATAATGATTTTTTTAAATAACTTTTATTAATGTAAACTAACATTTTTCTTATGCAACCTTTATATAAGTGATTTTTGAGATAACTTCTTTTGACGAGTTCTACAAGCTGCTAAAATAAACGGCTCAACTTTATATCAAACAGACGCAATTGAGTTATATGATACAATTACCCAAGATCTGAATATTCGTCTTACGTTTCCACTGTGAGATTTGAATTTAGATTTGATATTGTAAGAATATAAAATTCAACTTTCCCTGAAATTACATCCTACAGAATGGTGGCAGACACCTTTTTCTGAACCTTTCATTTCGCGATGCTGTAATAAAACCTTCCGATTTAACTGCACCCGACTTTTTATAGGGCTATTTGAAAGAGAGGATAAAAAGTTTGAGCAAGAATAATTGGCGATGGAAAAAGCAACCGCCTATAGAACTTCGTATGGGCATTCAGCAGATGTTGCGTTCTAGAGAAAATATAGAGGGTGTTTGGTGTATGAACCGACACAATTTTTAGGGTAATCGGAGAGACTTGTGTTAAAAATCGCAATGCTCTAAATGCCCTACTTCCTGAGATATTTATTCTTTTCGTTTTAATGCTGATGTTTCTGAAATTGCGAATAAATGTCTACACAACTTTTTTGTATGTCGAGATTATAATACAAAATAAACGTGGTTGGGTTTTGTGAAAAATGCTTGATCAGAGCAAATAAATATTTCGTGCAAAAGCCCGAAAAAATGACTTCAAACTCGTAAAATTGTGTGGAATGAATATAAAATTTGAAATCAAAATTCGATCACAAAAAAACTTTGCTTTTTGGAGCTTATCTGTATTTATAAAAGCTCTTTGGCTTATTATATTGCTTCATATCATACACTAGATAAGGATAATGAAGATAATGATTGAAAGCAATAAGCAGATTGAATTATACAGGGTGCGGCAGAGAGGACGGACGTTTTTGGGATGGGTAGTACTCTCCGCCTCCGGCTACGAGAGAGGTGGGGAGGGTGCCGTTTGACTCGTGAGATCCTAGCATTATTTTACCAGTTTTCGTTATGGAGCCTTGGACGGTGGAGCACCGCGTTTTCGCCTATGAGTGACGAAGCACACTTTCACCTAACAGCATGGTTAACCAGCAGAATTGTCGTTATTGGGCTAATGAAAATCCGCAACAGTTACACGAAAGACCGCTTCTTCGAAGACGGTAATGGTCGTGATCCGACGTGTGTGGTTCCAGCAGGATGGGGCGACCGCCCACACAGCCCAAGCATCCATGGACGTTATTCGCCCTCTCTTCCCTGGTTGCCTTATTTCCAGGTTTGGCGATGTTCATTGGCCTCCTCGGTCCCCAGATTTATCCATATGCGATTTTTTCTTAAGGGGACACCTCAAGGCTAGAGTATACGTTAATAAGCCCCGAACTCTGGACGAATTGAAAGCGAAATTCGCGTGAAAGTCGCCCAAGTTGAGAGAGCGATGTTGGAGAGAGTCCACGCGTAATTCCAAGAACGCCTCCAGCACTGCATCAACGATTTCGACCACCACATGCCTGATGTGATTTTCCTCACTTGACTGTCTCAAATGCTATTTCCTTGTGAACCTGATTCCATCAATAAATTTGTTTTCGAGTAAAAATTAACTATTTTATGATTTTTTTTAAACCGTCCATCCTCTCTGCCACACCCTGTACAAGTTGATTTGAGGTTAATGACATCCGATACCTCTGCACGGTTATTACATAAAAAACCTATAAAGCGTAAAAAAACAGCAAAACGTGAAGTTGCTGCCTAGATAGTTCCTAGTGTACGCTGTGAGTGTCATCAAAAGCGTCCATCTATGGAGGGATGACCCAACGACCATGGTGCAAGCTGCAAGTGAGTTTCCCATCATGCTTTGTTGGCTGTAGAATGTATATATAGTCTGTAATCCCTGAAAAATGTTTGGTTGAATAGCAGAGTAGCAAGATCACATCTGGATGATTGTGTGTATTGTTCTGCATGTGTATAAATGAGTGATATTTGCTATGTGAGAAAATTATTATTGAACATGCTGCCCATGAAATATATCTATTAGCTGTGCCAGACGGGTTATTTGTGTTGTTTTCCCCGTTTTTTGCATTTTCAAAAACATTGAAGGGGAAATCAGCACCGCACCGGCATTGTGTGTGATAATGCCACATCACAGAAAAATTAGGAATGACGCACCACATACAAAACATTTTCGCACTGCCTCACATCTAGACGCTAATTTGATTTTTCTACTTGACATCATAAAACAAATTTCTATAAAATTTAAATGACTGGAAATAAAAATTAACGTGAAATGAAATAACTTTTTCATGCTTCATAAATATTCATGTATGTATTATTGTCATATTTTCTCACCTGTTAGTTTAAATATACCTCACCAACCAGGGATATTCGTATCTTATCGCTCTCTTTTTTAAATCCAGCAAATCTGTAAAACATGTAGTTCCAGGATGAATAAAAAAAGCGGATGCACAGCTAATTTTTAGCTTTGCATACATCTCAAGTGTATTTGAAAAAAGAAAGCAATAGAATTATAATCAACACATATTATTAGCACACAAAGCCTCACTATGCACCTATGCACTGCCGTTGGCTTCCAGCTATAGTATATATATAGTATACAACTTACAGCCCAGTAATGCCATCTTTGAAGTTGATGTTTTCTCACATCAGAGCCAAACATTGATCAAGCATCATGACATTTAGGCAACACGTACAGCTACGGAACTAACACACATCAAGTGTATAACAGCTAGTGCTGAGCTGACGTCTTGTAGAGAAACCTACATAATGTCATAAAGAACCGTAACAAGAAAACCTATATGATCTAACAAAAGCCGAGTTAATGTCACTTTTCAAGATACGTAATACGCCTGCCGGATTAAGTACATCTAACGTGATACGTACTAGGTTATTGGTTGCCAAGACTTAGAACACACATCAAGTGTATAACAGCTAGTGCTGAGCTGACGTCTTGTAGAGAAACCTACATAATGTCATAAAGAACCGTAACAACAAAACCTATATAATGTAACAAAAGCCGAGTTAATGTCACTTTTCAAGATACGTAATACGCCTGCCGGATTAAGTACATCTAACGTGATACGTACTAGGTTATTGGTTGCCAAGACTTACAAAATTTGTAATTTTTATCGGGAAATTAAACATTTTTACTTATAATATGATTTAAAACTAATTATTACATGTGACATTGACCATTAATGAATGTTGTTTTAGAAATGGAAGAACCACATTTTTTTTAATTAGTGGACAGTGTTTGAATAGCGAAACGCTCACCTTAATGGTTGGATTTAAGGAACTACTGAGGAAAATAAAAAAATAAATGGCCTAATAAGTCCAGAGCCATACTGTACTGAGTTTGAAGCCCGCATCAGACAGTCTGGATTGATAAAATCAATCAAGTCTGAGGCGAAAAAGATGTTCATCAATAGTCTTCATTTAGGGAGGATATGCTTAGATTCAATTAGAAAGGCCACACTTAGTACTAAAAAACTTAGTTCGCTGTGATCAAATTTTTAAATTTCAAATCTTTTGTTCACTCTGCACAATTTTACTACTTTGGCAGACCAGAAATCATATTTTATAAACTATAAAAAGGCAATTCCAGCAAATTTGTCATAAAAACGAAAAAAAAAATATCTCAGTAACCGGGGCACTTAGAGCATCGCGGTTTTCAATAAAAACTATCGAATAGCATTCTCAATTACCCCAAAAAATTTTACGGATCATGTATGTACCCTGTATAGCGTAAAGAAACTGATATACGTATGACAAGTGATGTAGGGTTTTTAATGCTGCAGAGCATAATATTTTGTCGGTAAACATGGTAAAAAGGGAAGAAGCGTTCTACCAGATGATAAACTCACCCATTGTAGACGTTACGTGTGTGCGTCCTTACGTAGGAACACTGTAGAACTAATAGTGGGAGTGAAGATAAAGTTGAACTTTATCGTCACTGAGGACAGCCTTTCAAAAACGATAATAAATAAAATCTAATTGCAACTATTATTTCATTATTTGGGTGACGTTTTATATGAAATGAGGTATAGCATGCCTCTTGTGGAATTTTTTTATCAAAAAACAAACAAAATTGGAGTTTAATTACCAATTCGCAATATAGATATGTATTGATATACATTAGCGTGTGCGTACATAAAAAGTCGTGGATTCACACAAACAATAGACACAAATAAATGGATAGTCTAGATATAGATTTGAATATTACAAAAAAATTTCCAATAATAACTCACGACAATGGTGTCGAAAATCTCAGGGCTTTCAGGCATAAGCTATGTTCTGAAAGATAAAATCTAGGGCATCGAAATAGCGTTTCTACGTACTTTGATCTCCCGCGTACTTGCTAAGTTGATCTGTCGGTACTAAATGAGAAAGGTAATTCCATGGCTGATTCTTATACATACTTTTTAAAGTATTATTACAGAGTAATATCCAGCACTTTAGAACACCTTCCTTCAGCCGTAACTTTTGCCAGACTCTTTAAACGAGGTGAATGTATGGTTTATACAAAGGGTATAGAGGGCCATATCCGTCAGTCGTTCATACTATTGTAGGACGCCCTTTTGGCCTGCTTGGTTTTCATAGTCATTTCTCTCCTTCAGAAAGGCTGGGGTATTTCTATATTTCTACTGTTCCGTGTCAGTGTCAGCGCTCTCCTAGTTATGTTTTTTTTTTGAATTGTAGAAAATTTAAGATGACGAAAATCAAAAACATGAACAATTTGATGCATATGTATGTAGATATTTATAAGATAACCTCAAAATAGAGCGCCTTTCCGAAGGACAGGAAAACCTATGAAAACCAAGGAGGCCATAAAGATGTCCTACAATTATTGAAGGAATGACTGACGATACGGCCCTAATATACAATTGTTCATTCAATGCCATTTTTTGTTTACACGGTGTCCCTGCTATCGACTAAAGTGACCTGCTTAAAAAAATCAGCTTTATTCGACACGACTTTCCTATATATAAAAAGCTTAGCAGGAAAAACTTTATATTCGACCTCATAACCTTTATATGAAACTTCTTTTCTAAACCGCCATATAAACAATCTAGAGAGAGCTGAACTCATAGCGGGACACCCTGCTTTAAACCGTCTGCCATTGAGTGAAGATAGCCATTCTAATAATGTATTCTATTGTTCAACAAATTATTCTAGATCATATGAGATAGCTCAGCGATATCTATGAGAATTTGCCAGAGCTGTTTCTCTATTTACTATATATACATTGAAAAAGTTAGTGTCTCACGTCATATATGCTCATGTAGCTTTGGCTACAGCGCCATCTATGTAAGACTATTCTTTCAAAGTACAAGAAGTACCCGACCCAACTAAGAAAACAAAATTTTTGTAAAAAAATGTATTTATTTTTCAACATAACCTCCTTTGAGCTCTATACACTTTTCCCAGCGATGTTCAATATGTTCGATACCTTTTTATAATAAGAACTGTCTTCTCCTCAGAATAGCCATTAACTGCCGACATCACTTCTTCATCGTTGGAAAATCTTTGACCAATGAGCCATTTTTCTAAGTTTGGAAACAGAAAATAATCCGAGGGGGCTAAATCTGGTGAATAGGGTGCATTTAATTCGTTAATTTTGGCCATTGCAATAACGGATTTGTGAGCTGGTGCATTGTCTTGATGAAATCACACTTTCTTCTTAACCAAATGCGGCCGTTTTTGCTTGATTTCATCGCCCAAACATTGCAATAAGTTCGCATCATACTCGCCGTTGTTAGTTTTACCTTTTTTAAGATAGTCAATGAAAATTATCCCACGCGCATCCCAAAAAACCGACACCATAACCTTGCCAGCAGATGAAACGGTCTTCGCCTTCTTTGGAGCCGGTTGTCCCTTTTGAGTCCATTGTTTTGATTGTTCGGTTGTCTTGGGTGTGAAGTGATGTACCATGTTTCATCCATGGTCATGAAACGACGCAACAATTCTGCTTTGTTGCTGTGAAACTTCGCTAAACACTCAATCGAAACATCTTCGCGACACTGTTTTTGCTCGATTGTGAACAATCGCGGTACCCATCTTGCACACAGCTTTCTCATGTCCAAATTTTCAGATAATATGCGATAAACCGCACTTTTTGAATTTTCTTCACTATTTCTGGAATCGACGCCTCATTTGGTCGACCACTGCGATGCTCGTCTTGGCAGCTCATACGGCCTCGTTTAAACTCTGCTACCCAATACTTGACTGTTGTAAACGAAGGAGCAGGCTCACCCAGAGTAGAATCCAGTTCAGCTTTTATATTGGTTGGGCTGAGGCCTTTGAAATAAAAGTATTGTACTACATATCGATGACTAATTTTCTCCATTTCATAAATTCACTGAAAACGTTCAGTATTGTTGGCTGCCAAACAAATACTAAACAACGTGGCGTCTTCAAACTTAACACATATGCTTTATAGGTTGCATACTTTCTAATACAATTATATTTTTCAAACAACTATCGCCATCTCTAGGTCAGACCGGGTACTTCTGGGACCACCCTCGTATATAATGAATAAGAGAAACAGCTGTGATAAATTCTCGTAGATGACACTAAGGTATCTCATATTATCTCGAATAATTTTTTGGTCGCGTGAATATAGCATTAGGGTTAGGATTAAATATGTTGCGTCTGACAGCTCTGGGATCTTACTCTAAATGGCCTTATTTAAGTATGAACAAAGTTACTGTAGATACTGAAATTTATATCCATCCTTATCAATCTTCAAACAAACCAAAATAATTGCGGTGGGTAAAGGCATCAGTCAAAGTTCATATAATTTGGATTACTCCAAGCATAGTATTTTAATAGTGCAATGTATTTTGGTTATTAATGCAACAATCATGTGAATTTAGGGGAAGTAATGGTTGATTTTGTCTAATTTTCTGCACTGAAGGCTATTTTATGAAATCTATTGTGTCGCTTTCAACAGTGAATGGTATTTGATCTTCAAGTATACTCATGAGAAAGGTGTACACTTGAAGAAGTTACTCGATTTTTTAGACTCTATGAGGAGGTATCTACGGGTATTTCCGAATGCTAGTAGAATTCAACTAAGCACGACTGCCAAAGATAGCAAAACGTTATCGACAAACCCTTTGTTGCACGTTCAAGTACGCAATACATTAAGCTATATTATTTACGTTTTCTAAACGTCAGTGATAATATTAGTTTAATCGTTCCTCAAGGTTCATAAATTTTTCAGAAATGTAGCCTAAGGAGCTTGAATACGATTTCAACGGAGGAAAAGTCGCTTCGAGTTGAACTAGGCATTTTGTCCTTAATCGAACGCCTGTAGATCAGTAGGTCTGACAGGTAGATACAGTTGCCCAGTCGAGATTCGGAATACGGTTTCGGTGAGCTTCTGGGTACGCGAGGTCCAACCACCTCATAGGAAATAATTATTAATTCCGTGTAGCAGTGGCTTAGCTCACGCCATTGGCTCTTGACTAACTACCATAGAAACTTGTAATAATTATATCTAATCATTTCTAGTAAGCCGTAAAGTGTTAATAATATATATTTAGAAATACATTTTTTATACCCACATAATTTTTTGACGATAAGCAATAGTACCTTCCCAATATTATGTACGCTCTTTCCAGAAACTGGTAGATATGGAAATAACGCCACGCAAATATATGTGGAAAAACAATAGTACAGACATAGTCAGCTACGCTACTGATACAATAATCTTGTAATGCCTATAATCCGCTCAAATTGCATATATTCTCTTATTTATTGCTATATCACTTGATCAAAATTTATTGATGTCGATTGCACTAAACAATCGTCTCGTAAATAAAATTTTAAATGGATTAGTTCTCCAAGACCCATGATAAGAAAGAGAAGTGCCACAGGTCATGTCCGCCCTCTTAAACAGCTCAACAGCTTTTCCCTTAGAAACCTGAAATGTCCCGCCATCTTTCTTTTACCCTTTATAAGATTCCGATCCTCTTAACACCTTCTCTAAGTTTTCTCAGCTCTTATTATATTCAAATTCGAGTGTATGGTTTGTTCGTACAGCCTGTTTGTTGATAATCACTGACTGTATAAATTGCTTACATGAGAACGTTACGAGTTGGCTGAGGAAGCTTGGACCGATTACCAAACTGATCCACTGTTCGTACAGAAACTTCTGAGTGTTTGATGACTGTCAAATTAGTCAGAACATTATTGTCCAGTAAACTGTTAGAGCTCGAAATCAAGTAGAATCATTGTTCGAATGTAACATTTTTCAGTATGGCGTAGACAATTTAGGAAAAATTGGGGTATGTTGATTTGCTGTAAACCAGAATGATTTAGGACTTATCGTCCAATTGCCCGAATGTGCCTAAATTTTCTTCTAGAGGGGACACTTTCTAGGAAAAATAACAGCACTAAAAAATGTCAAGTAGATTTACTCAGTAATTACCATTCAATACTCATTTAAAAGGTATAAACACAGATTTGAAAAAAAGTGATTCCACTCATCGAATGACAAGTTGAAGAAGCAAACAGTAAGAATTCTGAATAAACATCTGCAGTGATTATGCATTAAAAATGTATAAAGTATTGTAAATGACTTTTAATAAAACTCGAATAGTAGGGTTTTTGTTCCCTGTTCCCTTGTCGCCCAGCCTCGAAGTGTATGCACAAACAGTATTTGCTTGTATAAGTCCCTCAAAGCTGATGAAAACAAAATAACTAGTTCTGGAGATTTTGTGTTACAGCTTCTTTTCAAGGGTGCCCACGGAAAAGGCGACTGACTTTGCTGGAATGAAAATACTATTTTTCCTTACCGTTGAAATTTTATGGGATACAAAATCGCTTAAATAGAGGCAAAGTTGCATATTCAGATAATCAGCAAAATGCTACCTAGAGAGTTTTGAAAATGAAAGTACTTCCGGAGAGAGGCGTAAAAAACCGCAATTTCTCAAAGTGGTTTTAATTTTCTCCTGATTTTATTTGTAGAGAGATTTCAAAATAAATTGCACATCAACTTGCCACTTTTTCTC